TTTCTAAATGTGTTTCCACTCCTAGAAATTCGTTTCGGTCTTTTAAACTAAGCTAGTTTTGAAAACGTACGGCTATGTCTCCATGTTGGTATATTATTTAGGAACTACTACTTGAAGATTGGAAGAGCATTTTAGTGAAGCAGCAACAGAAATCACCTACAATTTTGTGTCGAAATTGTGGTCATTTCCTGGGACCATTAGCATCGTTAAGAAAGTATAACATATTTTATACAATTATTGATCCTGAATTTATGAATCGAATTTTATTGGACACAGAAAATGATAAAGAAACAACAGGTAAATACTCCATAAACACGTGCTAAATCAATATTTTTTATATTCCTCTTTTTTAAAATAATTAGCCAAAGCTTTTTGTGGTAACTGTAAGAAACAAATTGGTGGTACACAAAAGTTACCTGCTAAAGCGAAGATAAATGAAATTTATTCATTACAACGTGAAAAAATTAAAATAAAAGAAATTGATGAAAATGGTGCTGATAAATATTCGAACATAAAAACATGGACTGCTCTACCTTTTCCCATACCTGATTTGGATGTGTAACAGTTGTGATTATGATCAAGTGAAATAATTCGATAATAATGAAAATTCTTCGCTATAGAAATGAAGCCACAAAGTAGTAGCAGTCCTATAAATGTTTGCGTTTTATCGTCAAAAATTTATCTTCTAAGATTGACGGTGGTACAAAGAGAACGTGTTGCATTTTTTTAAAAAGTTTGTGATCTTTATAAAAAAAGACGAATTATAGTTTCCTGTTGTTTTGTTTGTTAAAATAATGAAATTTTGAAGAAAAACTTCATTTTCAGGTAAAAAGATTAAAATCAAAACAGTTGGTCTTTTTCCACTCTTTGGGATTTCTGTATGTGTAAAAACCGCTATAACACAGGCAGTCAATGGAAACAGTTTCAATAAAATGTACACTATCAATTGAGAGTGGTTAGAAAAGTATGTCTTTCACTTATTTCGATCTTCTATTGCAATGGATACCTTCACGAGAATGGGAGACGTACAAAATGCTCAAGATTATTATTCTTGAGCAAATTTTAAAAGAAAGACCTGATATATTTCCTAATAACGACACAAAATATGGGGAATAGACAACAAAAAGATTCCATCAGACCTTTAAGTAAATATAGTTTCCTAATCATGAACTCAATCAAAACTTGCTGCAAAGTTGACATAATAGAAATAAGCTGTAGCCACATTGAACATCTGATAAATAGAGATAATGTAAAGCAACGCAAACATGCTGGAATGGTTCACTTTTCTGCTCAGCATGTTCTATGTGTTGCGTATTCACTCACATTTTGATTTAAAGCTGTTAGTGAGTGTTGCGCCTTTTAAAAATATCCAACATCCTTTGGTTTCATTGTTGAAATAAATTATAAATTTTGCTTTGCGTACCATTCATGTCATGCGCCTGCTGTAAAACGCGAGTAAGCGTGAGCTATAGGATGGGTTGTTGATGTTAAATACGTTACAGTAATATGAAAAACATTTTGTAAGATAGAACACAGCATGCGTTTGATGTATTTCATGAATCAAACGACTCACAAGCCACATACGTATATCTACCAATGTCACGATATGATGTGACTGACTGGCTACGTCAAAAAAATTAAATAACTCATCGGCTATGTTAATGTAGCTTTTGATGAAAGGGGTTCCAGGGTGAGAAAAATAGATTTTACCTGGAAACCCAAGGTTTTTGGAAAGCCTATAGTCAGTCCAGGATGATTTATGCTAATTTATACTTTTTGTATAGATATATTCTGAGAAGAAGAACATTCTGTGAAAATTTCAATCAGTTCGGAGCTTCGAAAACTGATATCGGATTCACCAATATCTCACGTTCAGTACTCTGTTCCGCTGATCTACTCCTGTTTTATGAAACGTACATTTGCCAGATTTGGGTCGTCTATAACTGAACTTTACGATGCAAAAGCGCCTCTTTATTTCTCGATTAAAAATATTGGTGCTGTATATCAAAAAAATTAAAGAACTTTATCGGTAAAATTGTTAGTTGCTACCACCTTGTCCTTTACTTGGAAAAATTTGATCAATTTTTTTGTTGACTTCTTCTACTGTGGCTGTTACTTGATCTGCAGTTCGACCATTGACCGCTCCATCGATGATTCTACACCCTCCTTTTGTATGAACAATTATATCTCCATCGTAACGTTCGGGCTTTTTATCTCCGATTCTTTCACCACAGTAACCAAATTTATCGCATGAAAAAATGGCCGCTGTTTTTCCGCCAGTTTGTAGAGGACACCTCGAAGTATATGTCCCAACAAAGCTTTCGGTTCCCGGATTTATAGTTTTTTTCGAGTTTTTTGTCCTATTTTTTAAATTTCAATAAAAATTTCATTTTTAGATATGAAAAGTTGATGCTAGCGTAGTTCGATAGAGAACATTAGCTTGTATAAGGGAAAATACGTTTCGTGAAGTTTGACGCAGAAATTTTATGTACACCTTCCGAAGGAAACTGCAGAGCCAGAAGTATTTTTCATCTCACCTTACGGCTAGTTTCGCCCGAACCAAGCATTTTGATGCAAAACTCTGGGTGTAATAGTTGTGCAGAATCGAACTCTGCAGTCCTTAACGAGAGCTTCTTTTAAAAATATCTTTTTTTGGTTTTTGAATTGAAAAATACGAAATTTTAAAGTTTTAAAAATCGTAAAATTTAATTTAATTTAGAAACCAAAAAAAGACAATTTTATAAAAACCTCTTGTTAGGGACTTCAGATTTCGATTCTGAACAACTTTTGTACCCAGAGTTCTGCTTCAAAATACTTTCTTCTAGCGAAACTAGCCGTAAGGTGAGGTGAAAAAATCTTCGCTGAGCCAAAAACCAGCGATATTTTAAAGTTTTGCATTTTGTCTTCAAGTCTTCCCAGTTTGTAGAGGATACTTCGAAGTATATGTCCTGAGAAAGAAATTAATTACTTAAAACAATCTCGTCAAATTTTCGACTTAATAGACTTACCGAGCGGCGAAAAATGGATTCTAATATTTTTAAGGTAGTCCATCTTGTAGCCAGTGAAATTCTCTATCAGCCGAAGTATTGCTTGAATTTTTTCGTTGAGTCATTATTTTACAAACGGAACTTTATGCTAGTAAAGTAGGCTAAATGAACGTTAATTAGTACTAATTAGTCAATAACAGAAAGGAAAGAAAAAGTTTTGCATATTTTCTTGTAGAAAATATTCTTCACACATTTCTCTATCGATCTAGGCAAGAATCAAGCATTTATGATGAATGTCGAATGGACAGGAATTTTTTTAATAATAGTCCCTCATTCGAAACTTTAACAATATTTTTTTAAGTAATTAATTTTTTCTTAGCCACATAATGTTAGTAAGCCGAAAAAGCTTCAGGACATATACTTCGAAGTGTTCTCTACAAACTGGGAACGTTAGAGCAAAATCTAAATGGAGGGGACCCATAAGCAGAGGACCTTGAGATTAAAAGAGCCTTAAAAGAATTTGTCCCCATGTTTTGTCGTCGAGATTTAGATTTTTCAAAATATTCCTATTTTTGCAATATCTATCGTAGAGTGTCTATACTTTCAAAAATCGATATCTCGACGACAAGACGGCGGAAATTATGAAACTTTTTCTACAGGCTGATCTAACTGAGACCTTCATTTTTGCGAAGTTTCAGGTCGAAATTCAAAATTTTGATTTTGCAGGAAAACTGGGATCCTGCATGGATTGTCCAATAAAGATGCATTATCTCGGCCAAATCGAAACATGTGGACAAATTCTTTTGAGGTTCTTTTAATCTAAAAGTCCCCTGCTTATAAGCAAAATCTGGACTTAAAAGCTTTTAATCAGTTGCCGTACTTCACTCGTTAGTACAAATAATGGAATGAAAAAACTTTATAAATTATCCTCTTGAATGATGGCATTATACATGAAATAATGAACCGTTTCCTGACACATGTTTTAACTTTGATATCAATATATATGCTAACGTAGATGTCAGCGATGAAACTCAATATGATTTGTAAAAGCACTAGAATCTTACAATCCATCACAGCTACTTTTACTTTGTTTGAACATGACGTCAAATTCAGAATTTTTTACACTTTAGTTTAATCGATGGAAGTGTGTCAGTATCACTTTTAATTCTACTTTGTGATCATCAAGCTCTATCCAACCATATACAAATAAACGAAAAATAAAATCCACTGGAATTTTGAATTTTTGGCACCTTACAAAGTCATCTATTAATCTCTACTGAGAAAAGCGAGGATATTCTATATTTTACCATTATACAATAATCATTATAGCCAAAATAGAGCGACAAAAACGAACGAATAAACAGACACTGTTAACAGAACGTAGGTATTTTACAATACTTTGTCAATATAATTTTACTTCTCTGAACAGTAGAGAATATGAGCCATGGTAAATCGATCAAAACATGGAAACACATTGGACATAGAGTGAATAGCAAAAAATACCAGTAATGTTATTCATCCGCAGAATCGTAGTCGTAGTTAGATCAATGATTCCTCAATAATCTTTGTAACAGCAATGTAAGTCATAAAAAAACAGGTTGATGTTTCTAATCTTGGAATACGCAGTTCAGCTTTCTGTACAGATGAACGATGGATTCTCCATTCATCATCATCAACAGTAAAAACAGAACCAAGAATAAATTCAGAATTTATTTCTAATAAAATGGATTCATTCAAGTTGCACTTATCACGATGAATTTAAAAAATAATATTTTAATGATCCATTTGTTGAACTACTATCATGCCAAGAAAAAAAATATTTTTGTAATCATCTTGATCAACAAATAATATCCGATTTACACCATTTGCACAATTACATCCCATTTATATTTTAGGGCAGGGATCTCAGGCCTCAGAAACCCGATGAAGAGCTCTTGTGAAACTAAGTGTATGGAAATGGTCCTAGGCGTGCCCTGACATAGTTTCAATGCAAAAAACCCGAAGCTTTTTTGGGCTAGGAAACGGCATTATCCACCCTCCACTGATAGATTCGACAACAATGCCCAGTTCTGCACTGTTAATCCGATTTATTTTCTAATTTATAGAAAATTGATCTTGAAAATCTGAAATGAATTAAGACATTTTATAAAATCGTAAACAATTTTATAAGAATGTTGAAAATGCTTATTTTCTACTGTGTTAAAAATCGAGTAGATTTTCAAGAACAATAGCTAAGAGATGGAGAAATATTTTAATTCCGAAAAGTTGTAAGAATCCTTCTCGTTTCGCGAAATCTAAAAAACTATTTGCAGAAAGTGAGTTTTTGCATCAAATGTTATTCGAGATCTTTTCTGCAAAAAATGTTTGGTCGATTAAAGTAAGTATATTCTCACGAAAAATTAACACAAATACACTTACTATGCATCGTTCGATTTATCGTTTTTCAAGAAATCCGACTGCCTAATTTTCAATGTTTCTTTTACCACCTCCAACGAGATAATTTTCATTTTCGTATTTCCACGCGCGGAATAAACACTTTTGTCATCCTTACAGAATTGTTTAAATATATTGTCAC